AGTGGTTAAATGAAATGTCAGCATAAAGTGTCAATTTCTTTTTGTCCGATTTACATAATGATTGGCTGCAATTCTAGTAAATTTATAAATAAATCATGTAGATTTTACTTTTTTTTTTTTACATCATATTTAGATATTTTTTGACATCACAGAAAATAAAAGTGAAATTAATTTTTCTTCCTTCTTATTTTTGGCATGAATTTACTCCCGTAATGGCTCCAACACTCCGTCATACAATCAGACCAACAGTCGACGTTTGAGTAGAAATAAAACCTTTTGAGTTTAAACAAAACAAATCAAACAAATCACAGATGTAGGTCAAAGAAGCTGAAGACTTTTGCACAACACTGTAAAAAGAAAAGGTCTGCACAGTGAGGAGAAATTGGTGTTAGGAGCTTCATGCACGCCCCCTGCTGGTGACTGCTGTACATGCAGCTCTTAGTGACTCCAGACGTTTCTGCTTGGTGGGATCAACGTTTTCACTTATTTTGTATAAATCTGGGTCAGATCTAATCACCTAAAACGGTTTGCAATTTTTATTACAAAAATGTTTTGTACATATTTGTTAAAGCTGCCACCATGTTGTTACTGATAATCTGTGAAAAGGTCAATCTCCATATTTTCCCTGAGCCATTACTGCAGTCTGAAGAAAGGCACCAAAACCAACCAATCAGAGCTAAGAGGCGGGGCTTAGCGCTGGCAACCATCCTCATGTACTCACTGGAATACCGTTTATCTGCCATCATGCTATGCTAACTAGCTAACCAGCTGTAGTTTAGCAAAGAGCATGAGGGTGATTGACAGCGCTAAGACCCTCCCCATAAAAATATGTTTATGTATAAGTTATACTTTTATGCATTTTACCACAGATGAATCAAACTTGAAAGATGTCAAAACTGCATTATTTATTATCTGCTTTTGTTTTTTATGTCATGTCAACTCCAAAATAGTAATAATTTGCCTTTTTACAAAATGTTCTGACAGATAGATGGGTTCTCTGTGTAGAAAATAGTTTGTGCATGGCAACATGACGCAGC